AGGCATGGATTTCTTGGCAAGGAGCTCTAATATTGTCTCTTATAGCATAGTGTGATGGTATCAAAGAATGTTATCAAATTTAACAAAACTTTCTTAGACAGAAAATTAATAATATAGAAAATTTAATTGTATTAAACTATAATTTTTAAATTAACATCCAGTGAAACTGAGACTCATATACTCATATGTTAAATGTAAAAGCCAATACTTATTTCAAATTCTTTTAAGGCTTGTTAATCTTAACCAGTAGATTGGCATATGCTTAGTTCCTAGCATTTGACATTATGAAACCAGCTTATTCATTTAAATATATAAGCACTAACAAGAATTTAAAAAATTAATATTAAATATAAATTCTTTAATAGTTTATTTAAAATACTTTTTAAAAATTTAGTGTCCAACATCTACCATTATTTAATAATATTATTAATAAATCACGATTCAAAGCCAAGTTGTAAGAACATGAAACATTCCTAGATCATATAGTTGTTGTTATAGCTAAAACTTAGAGCATACAAAATCTAAGAATTTTAAATTTTATAACTAAAAGAATAAGTTATAATTAGAAAAAAATTTATAAAAATAAAATATGACCCATAATTAATATCAAAGAAATGTTTAACAAAATTAAAGACATTTGACACTCATAGCATACGTTAAAGATTTATTTATTTATAAGTAAGTTGATACACCACATTATAATCGTAATTTGTAATGGACTTATCAAAGATATATACCAATCACCTCAAATGAAACAAAATAAAAACACACTAATTTTTTTAATGTTCTATGTTAAATATCTTAATATAAAAATTATAAAACATAAATAAACAACTTATATTGCAATTACTATAAAAAATAAAATTTAGTTTTCTTATAAATCTATTTTAACATATGTCTTTTATAGCATAATGTGATAGTATCAAAGAATGTTATCGAATTTTAAAAAACAATATTAGATAAGAATAATAATATAGAGCAATTTATTGTATTAAGGCAATTATAATTAGTTCTCAGCTGTTAGATCTTAAGCATATGCCTGTAGATCGAATTTTAGTTGTTCGAGTTGTCTTACTAAAATTTTTATAGGATGATTGTTGTGATAATTAATTTCAGCTTAGCGCATAGGAAAGTTTGAAACTTCTTATATGATTGTATTTTTCCGGGTTAGGGTTTATAGGCGCCCGTCAAGAGCCAGGCCCTTGAAACGGTGTTGGTGAAAGTTGAAAATCCAATGCTCTTAATTACTAATAGTTCTAACTAAATTCGTTTTCTGTGTACAGGGAGCTCGTCTACTTAAGGAGAAAGAAGCCAAAGCATATTTGTACCAAGAGGAAGCTGCACTAGAACAAGCAGAAGCTTCACACATACCCTACAAAACATTAAGAAGGTAAACAGTCACAATCTGGACTTCGGTTCTTTGAAAAACAAGCTCTTGCAAAGTACGATCTTCAAACAGGACTCTCTTTTCTTTTCTCTACAAACGGCTTCACAAATATCAACTCATAGGCAAGTTGGACGTCCCTGATGCTCCTCACGGTTCCACACCCATCATCTTTGCCAAGACTTTGTCATACTTGTTGGCCCTCTCCAAGCACAAGTTCACATATGCAATTCTGAAAGCTGAAGGTCAAATATTGGCGGGCACTGCATGAAAAGAAAAAGATGAATGAAGACATGAAAAGAGAAGAACTTACTTGGCTTGCAGTGTCTGTTCGACAAGTTCTGCCTGACTTCAGGACGAGCACAAGCTGCAGCCTTGGCAATTGCTTCCCACGTCTCGCTGGGGTTGAACTCGCTGATTAAGGCACATCGCTGTGCCGACAGGCGAAGCCGTTCCACCTCACACTCTGTTCGCTTGTGAGGCCCTTCATTGAACACGAACGCTCTCTCGGTCCGGCCAGTATCTGCGACATCGTAAGGAGCCTAAGGAGGTGCTTCTGTGTCGAGATGAAAACCTTTTTGACTTTCGTCCGAGCTTGAGCTGTCGCTCCCCGATGCGTTACTGTCCTCGTTCAAGATGGCTTCACCTTCCTCCAAGGCATCGTTCGCCCCGGAAAGGACAATGACAAAGCCCTTCTGCTCCAGTTCATCTTCATCACTATCTGCAACGGACGAGGAATTGTACTCTGCATCAGTTGGCGTGGTGAATTTTTCAACCTGACGAATCAATTCCAAATGCCTGGGTCGGAAGTTAAGCTCTGTCGATCTGCACGGGTCAAGGTAACCTGGGGATTGCGAGCAGGGATGAAAGAACTCACCTCTCGAAATCCGCCATGGATGTGCTGATCAGGTGAAGGCAGGCATCGAGCGCATCCGGGTTCATCTTCCCGCCCTTGAACCTGTTGAAGGCGAGCTGAGAAACAGCCGCCTGGTGGCGGTGGATGTTCAGGAACGGCTCCACAGCCTGGAGCACCCCAAAGTTGAACTCGCTCGGCGGAAAACGAAAGGGATCGGTCACGCCCCACACATGCGCCATCTTCAATTTCTTAGGGTTTGTGTGAGAGACAAACTATAAAACATAACTAACATTAAGTAGACATGAAAAGTTAGCAAACTATACAAAACACTTTGATCCTGCTTGTCGATTCTTCATCACTATTATATAACTTGCATAGATATAAGCTTCCAGCATTTTACGGATAAATTCTTTCTGGGTAACAAGGATAAGATATTCTTTGTCACTAATTACTGAAGATTGCGATAGAACAAATGTTGGCGAGCAGGATATAGGGACGCCTCAAGAACAAACTCAGCAGCTCTCGCGGATCTAGCGCGATCGTTTTGGAGCCAACACGCGCCAAGGACGCCGATGAATTGGGGATGAACTCCTCGGCCTCCCGGATCGCGCCAGAAGATCGACGATGCACTCGTAGTGATCCCTTCCCGGATCGATGCCATAATCCACCGCCATGGACTGGAAGTGCTCGCATCCCTCCTCCAGCCGCCCGCCGTGGCTACTGCTCACGATCAAGGCCCCGAAAGTGATCTCCCCCGCCTTGACGCCCTGCTGCTGCACACCGCCTCGCTGGAGAGCCCCTTGGATTCGACATAGCCGGATATCATTGCGTTCCAAGAGGCTGCACCATGCAATCAAACACGCGCAGGGGATCGCCACTCGTGGCAATTGCCGAGATCGTCGTCGTCCAAGTGATCACAGCCATCTCGTCGAAGATCTTCCAGGCTTTCTCCATTCACGGCATTTGCGTGGAGCATCGCGTTCCGGGCCACGGCGTCTTTGGGCGGCATATTCCAGAAGAGGTGGCGCGCCTCTGCCAGCCGTCTGATCATCTGGGAGTAGAAAGTGATCATGACCGTCACCGTGGAGCATTGCGTTCCGGAATGCGGTCGAGCAGCATGGCCGCCATCTGCAGATGCCCGTTTTGGGCAAATGCCAATGCCATGATGTTCCAGGGGAAAAGATACCTCTGGGTATGGTGGGCGAAGCATTCGTTGGCCTCCTGGACGCTGCCGCACTTGCCGTACATGTCGATGACGAGATTTTGGAGGAAAGTGCTGGAGTGCAGAAGATCGTCATGCATGAGTCGCTGGTGGATCCAGCGTCCTTGGGAAACATTCCTGGTGCCAGCGACGTTCTTGAGCTGCGCAGTCGGCCCTTAACGGGCAGGCACACGCCAGTTAAGTTGATTTTGAGATTAATTGGCCTAAACAGTTGGTTCTCGCAGCAAAGAGCAGCCACGCGTCAAACTCCAGGACTTGAAAGTTGGACGCAAGCTCTTGTCCGAGGGGAGATGCTCAAGAAGGTAATGTTTTTTTCCTTGGGTCATTTTCTCAGACTTACGAAAACTTCTGAAAAGAGTTACGAACGTATCGAGCTCAAGAAGAAGATCCTCACGGAATACGATTTTCCAGAAACCGGTCCACGACCCCGAGTACCTGAGCCCAGAGTTCATGACTGCCTTGAAGGAGAGAAACTGCATCGACGATTTTCTCCATCGGCAAGAGAGGAGTTTGCAGGGACATATACTCTCACTGAATCAACCACGAGACGCTCCTGGCCTACTGTGAACCCTATCCGCTGCGAAAGCTTCGTCCCATGGCCGAGAAAGTGGCGAGAATGGGGGTTTTCGCCGTCACCGAGGAAACCGGGGCAGGAATTTCAGCCATGGTTACCAGCCACCCTCGCGGATTGAAAATATGCGCAACAAGGGAAAGGTGCGTCGTATTTTTTCTTTCTTGCAAACTTTTCTTATCTTCCATGTTCTGATTGCTCTAAGCTTTGTGCAGGCGCTAAAGAAGGCGCTCTTGCTCAAGTCCCTGCAGCATCTCTAGCGCAATGTGCGCGAGCTCACGGAAAGGATTCACAAGCATCGCTTGCGAGCTGTCTACTCTGAGAAGCAGAGGAAGGCGACTATAGAGGCCGGAGAGAGAGAGAGAGAGGATTTAAACGAACTTTCCTTGGTGAGTCCGGCCCTCCTGCGCGTACGCGTTCACCATGCTCGTCCCGGCGATGCTGTTCTTCTCCGCGATCCTGTCGTAGACCGTTGACGAAGCCGTTGCCGACGAGAACATCCAGCGTTTCATCGCTCTGGATGACGCACTGGAAGAGAGCTCGGCCCTCCGCCGCGTCTCCAAAGCACGCCTCGGCAGCGCAGGTGAAGGTGATCTTGTTGGGCCAGGTGCCGTCGAGCCTGAGCAGCCGGAAGACATGGAGGGCGGCGCGTTCCCGACGTACGCAGTGATCATGGCGTTCCACGACTCGAATGTCCTCTCTGTCATCCGGTCGAAAACCGACTTCGCCTCTGGAAGCTGCAGGTTTTGTGAGTAGGCCGTGAGGATGTTGTTCCAGCAGATGAAAGTGACTCGGGATGGAATCAAACATCTCCTTCGCCTCGGCCAAGTTCCTGCTCTGGGCGTATGCCGTGAGCAAGATGTTCCTCGAGAACACGTCCTTGACAGGTAAACTACATTTTTCTTCGCTCACGCATTGCTTCTGGGCGTACAGGAGATCATCGTGTTTCAAGTCACCGCGCTCTTCTCCGGAAGAGTTCCAAGTGTATGGATTCCTCTCGGCAAGCTTGGCCTCTTGGATCCCGCCGCTTTCGATCGCAGGTATTTGTCTAGCTTGCTCGTGTCTTCTTCCACAAGTTTTCTCTCTTTTTCCAGGAGGCCCAGAAGCTCTGGTATCACGATGAGGACGTTTGTGAGGTAACTCTCCGGACTTCGTGTAAGTGGCGGCATTTGCGTATGAGCGCCGCATATCTGTTCTCAACCTTTCTTTGGGCTTCTGCAGCAGAATCAACGCTGTGGACGGTCGAAGAAGAAAACGATCTTTCCAGACCCTGACTCGCAGTGAGCACATACAACCCTCTATATCTTTTCTTGCGTTTAAGGTACACTTACTAAGATCAACTAGAACTTAGATTTCCGAGGTCCTAGCAAATCTATCATAGTACAGGTCCACAGAACACCATGTTTCCATTGATGTTTGTAATAAAGATGTTGAGGCACTTCGTTGGTATTCCAGCTACCATCTTCTTCTGCTCAGGAACTTCCTGTAACAATCTTCCCTTGCTTGTCGTTGCCAAGGTATGGATCCAGCGATATGCAACCCGATGAATCTGTCCCAGGGAAGGTTTTGCAGGCTGCCATGAGTTGCTGGGGAAAATTGTGCCATTCTATCTTGGTGCATGTTGCGCTAAATCCGCCTCATTGATGAAGAATCACGCTTGAGTGGTTCGCTCCCTGCTGCTTTAGCACTTGATGTCCGCCAAGCATGTGGCTTGTTGCTACCAGGAATCACTTTTAGTTGCTGCAAACAAAAAAATAGGAGTCTCGCGTTGGGATGAAAAGTGGATGAAAAGTGTAGAAAACTAGCAAGACTATTAGTGCCATGCGCACTGCTCGATCACAGAGAAAATTTGCTGCAGTTCAGCATTCTTTGCATAACTGCATAAAGACTAGTAATAGACAATGTTTGAATGTGTCGAAGCTTTCAATATACTTTTAACATTGGACATGGAGCTTTTTGTTTGATAGTTGTTTAGCAAAATATTGCAAGTTTATTGTCCTCTGCAGGTTTCAGTGATGATAGATAGTGGTTCAAATACGTATTATAAACTCATCTCAAACTTCATTCCATACTTAGTTGGCTTTAAAATATTGAATTATGATGTTTGCGTTTTAAAGGCAAAACAGCTAGAATTCCATGTATAAGGATATTCATCAATTGAAGGGTTGTGATTTTCTGAAATTAGGGTAAGGCTCTGTCTACAGTTATTGTTTAAAGTTGAATTAAGTGACACACTTTCACCTCAACTTTATTCTACGAGTAAGTTTGTCCCAAACGGATAATTTTTATAGCCAAGTTTAAGAGTTTTAAAAGTGGATTTAAAAGCTATTGTCCCAATCTTCAAATAGTTTAAGGTGAGAATCTTTTTGCTACAATCAACTTTAAATCCATTAAATCCTCTCCCAAAATTTATTGCTTGGGAAACAAAACCAAATATATTAGTGTCATTCCATCTTTAATGCTTAGTGGATTATCTCGAGAACTCCACAAACAAGAAGTTTGGGCTTTTTAGAAGATTTTATAAGAGCCAGTTTACATGTGTTCAACTCTTGGAGTAAACTTCCCTCCTAGAGTAAACTTTACTTCAAATTATATATGTTTATATCATCTTTAAATTTCAGCTATGCAAAACATTAATATAATATGACTTGTCATAACCAATTAGGGAATAACTCTTGGTGTGGCCAAGATCAACAAGAGAAAGCTCCTCATGGTTAGATTGTAAATTATCATTACACTTATGGAAGTAAGTGCAACTCTAGTTGCTTTCTTTCTAGGAGAAGAGTAGAGAATATGATGCAAAGGTCTAGCTTTTTCACGCTCTATTGTGAGATATTCTCCATGTTCTTGTTCTTGAAAATCTTGCTCTAGCACTCTTTGCAACTCATATGATCAATATAAGAAAATTAGTGAGACAGAAACTAGGAGATTTCTCTATCAAGCCTAAATCTCTTTATTGGTGGTACCAAATGGAAATAGAGGTTTTGAAAATTGGTCTTATGCAATTCCAAGAAGTGTTTTACATTTTTATAAGGACTTTGATATACTTTTGTGACTTATTAGGAGATGATTTAAAGACTTCACCTCCAACCAATCTTAATAATATTCCAATAAAGGCTTATTCCAATATTTAAGTAGATTCTAGTTTCTTTGAAGAGGTTGGTGATATGTGATTATTGACAAACTATTGGAGATAGTTTTGGGAAGGCATCATCTATTGTTTGAAGAAGTTCTCTATTACTTTGATCTACTGTTGCGAATGTTATAAAAAATGAAGGATCAATTACAAAAATCATTTTCTCCTCTTCGAGGGATGATTTAGCAATGAAGGGTGACTCATTGCTCATGTTTATATCATGCAATTAAAGTTTCTATTTTGATGTATATTGATTATGATGGTCTTATAAGTGGTAAGTTGTGAGATGGAAAGCAGTGAAGTGTTAAACCATTTTACTTAGACTTGCTATTAAAGACTTGGGTTATAATGCTTAATTCTTTTTTAGAGAACTTTGTTATTGCACCTTAAGTAGTTTGGTATTAAATTAATTTTGAATTTGGACGGAAATAGAGTGACATGAGCTTGTCTACATTGTGAATGAAGTTAGTAGTGTTAAGTGTCATAAATCACTATCGATGGGGTGTGGCATTTATATTGCATTTTGTTGAATTGAGTTGGCACTTGATACTTATATAAACCTTTATACTAGTGATATAAATGTTATTTATGGTGTTGCTCGATTAATGATCAAATCATTGTGATTTTTATATCATTTCCTAATGATCATGAGTAATGTGTTTACAAAGTTGTTTAGTTAAACAATGATCAACCCCAAAGTGGTTAATGATGAAATAAGTCTACTTACATGTAATAGCAGTGAAGTAGTTTTGGTTAAGTTCTCGATGATAATCCATTATGCTAAGCTTAAATTGGTGCTTTAGTTTCCTTGAGAGTTTGCCCATTGAATGTTGAAAAAGGTTATAGGATTCATTTGTTATAGCTTGTTAGTAAATTTATTGGCACTTAGAGTAAATTATTGAATGGTGAAAGTGTGTAGTTGAGATATTGATATTGCTAGCACTTAGTGTTAGTGGAAGTGGCATTATTATGTCAAGTGAAGAGGAGTTTTCCTTAAAGCTTGATTTTTATATTATTTTTTTGTTAGTGTTTTAGCTTTATACTGGATTTTAAAGATGATTAAAGAAGAATGTTAGTGCAAAACAAATATTTGAAGATATGGTCTTTGTGATTGACTTTTGGGTATTAATTTGCATTTTACGGATGTTGCTGTTAGATATTGAAAATATGGGCATGATGTTCAATGTTTAAACATACTATTAAGTTCTAAGAATTTATATTGATGGAAACTTATGTGAAGTTATAGGTAGGAGGAAGTTGATTAAGTTTTGAGAGTTTGTATTCCTAAACTGAGAGTTATTCTTTCTTGAAAATGAAAAATTTCCACAAATTTTTATAAGCTTTTCCAAAGGCCAATCTATTAATCATTTTGTTCGAAAACAATTCTGTTTTTGAAAGCCATTATAAACCAATAAAGGGGTTAGAGTTGATTTATATTAGCTTAAACTTTAGTAAGTAGTTTGTATAATGCAATCTGAAAATGATGCTAATTTTTGGGGCTAATGCAATTGAGTTGGATATAATCTGGAGTTGGTATAGAAAAGTGGTTGTTGCTTTTCTAGAAAGATGGCCCTTCTTTTGTTGCGTTATGCTTGGTGGCAAGTTGTATATATAAGTTTATCTCATAGTCTTCACTTTAGATTCAACTGAATGTTGATTATGCATAGCTAGCCTTTTCAAAGCATGCTTGGTTAGATGTGTTGGTGAACTTATTGTGGTTTAATTGGATTTGAGAGATCATTTAGTCCATGCTTGTCTATGTTTTTATATGTTGTATCTGGGGTATTATTTTCATGTTGGACAAATATATGACTTGATGACATGAGTTTAGTGTTTGGGTCTTGTTGTCGCGAATGTGACTTTGGGTATCGAAAGTTACATGTCAACCAATCCTTATGGACTCTCTTTCCTTACAGCCACGATGGCAGAAGGTCGGTATTGCTGGACCCTTTGTCAGCCCCTCTTGTTCAAGTGTTAGTAAACTAGACTTTGCATCTGTACTTGGCCGAATGAGCATAAGAACGGAATTCCTAAGTGTCCATTCAGCCAAGCATATTTGGCCTGGCTTTTTAGTTCTCTTTTGCTCTATCTTGCACTGGCTTGACAAGAACCCTCACATATTAAGATTAGTCCCTCAATATTGCTGGATGATAGCTTACCGTGTCTGCCAAACACCCTCACTATCATGCCCTTTATATTAGTCTCATTCCGGTCCCAAATGTTATTTATGAAAAGTGTCTAAATTTGCTCATTTGGCATATCTATGGAATGTAGAGATTGGCCTAAACACTATAGTGTTCATCCTGTGTCCAAATTCGCATTCTAGCACCATTCCATATTTAGTAAGTTTCAAGCTTGTCCCAGAGACTAACTCCTGATACTAAGGGCGGGTTGGGGTGAAAGCCCAAAGTGTTGTAAGCCATAAATTTTTCCTTTCCGATTTGCCAGCTTACCTCGTCTATCCAACCAACACTGCCTTGGCTTGTGCTAAGTTCCCTCGCTAAGGTTTTCGCCTATGGTACCAGCTCCTACTTGGTTCTACTTAGTTTCAGCTACTCACTACATGAGCAACGGAGTGTTAGCCATCCATCTACAGTATCCCAAATCTCTCCCAATCCCCCTCCCCAAGTTAGACTAGACTTAAGGTTCGGCTACACTCTCCGCAGGCACAAGCAGCTAAGCACACCAAGCCTCCAGGTTCCTAACACCCCTTGGTACCACAAGGCTTGATCATGGGACCCTCTAAATCCCAAGCCTTGGGTGCAGCACTTGCTTCGGGACGTCGGGGTGAAACACCGTGGCCTAACGGCCCGGTATGGGTACCTCTACCCCCCCACTTCCATCCCGAAGGGAAGGCCCAAGCCCCTAGGAAGGGCGAGGACCAATGAGCCACAAGGTACTCAAGTGGGGCACCACTCCACATGAGCCAGGAGCACCGCAGTTGGTTTCCCTTTCGGGAGTGGGAGCTGCTCTTGAGCACTTCCCTGGGTGGCCCCTCCGGCACCACCCAAGCCCATGCTCACTCCCACCCAAGGCCCCTCGGCCCCAGTCTCAACCTCAAGTCAGTTTGGAAGCACCACTGGAGAGTTCTTTCAACACTGGTTCCTGGACCTCACTATCCCTACTATACTTTTGGAACCCCCTGGAGGGCCCCCCCCCCCCCCCCCCCTAGGAGACGCACGCTTTGGGCTTTCACCCCTTGACCCGTATTAGTACTCGAACTTAGTCTTTGGCTCGATCTCGGACTCGATCTCGGATCCGACTTCGGATTCGGTTTCGGACTAGATCTCGGACTCGATCTC